TGCTGCGACGGCTTCATGTTCTCTGTGTTGTGGTTTGAGAGGGCGGCGCTTGACAAGAAACCCAGTGCGACCGCGATTGTGATTGGTAGGGAGGAAGCAGTGACTAGCATAAACATACATGCTAGGCTACAATGAGAAGGAAGGAAAACTGCGTTTCTTTTTTATCGAACTTTTATCGACCCTCTTTTTTTCTATTGCGCCACACGTCTATCGATCGATATATATCGTTATTGAATTATCGCCCAGCCCTATTTTCATCTCTAAACACACAGGGAGCCATACGTTCCTTCTGCATGTATTTCATCACCCAGATGAAGACACACACAGGTAAACAAACCGAAAAGAAAAAGTCCTTCACATATCCATTGTTGCTGCGCACCACTAAGCAATCACAAGAAAATACAGCTGAGCAGATCAGATTGAAGAGAGTCATGACTGCAATTACTCACATCAATTGTCCTTATGCGGGAAGAGGGGAACAGCAAGAGTCAAACATATTTGGAGATCAGATCCCTGGCACTGTCAGGTCCAGAACGTTTGCCTTAGTGATCTGGTGTTATTTCAGCCTAAACTGTCCAAAGACTCCATTGCTTTATCAGGCGAAATTAAAATCTTTGTTTCTCCATCGCGTACAGTCCTCAACCTGTCTGGATAGAGAAGGGAATACTGGATGCCTGCCTCCCGCAACCGCCGATTTACCGCATTAAATCCTTTCCCCCTGCGCATGGTGTCTGCCGAGAAATCCTGGAAGGACATGATCTTAGAGTTCTGATATATCAGGGGCTGGTCCCCGCATGCTTCGAGAATCTGCTATTGATCTCAGTTGTGAAATCTGATCAGCACAGGTTTTGGTCTCTGTGTAGATGCGAATTGTGGAGCCAAGGTTCAGTGCGCCCTCTTGAGCTTGATCCGGCTTTTCTTGGTTTCGACTTGCAGAAATTCGGGCAGCCATTTTTCAAAGAATTTTAGGGCTCCAGGGCCTCTGTGCCCTCTTTTAAACCAAACACCTGAATGTTGTTCGTCCTGCCTCTGTTTTCAATGTCATCAATTCATTGTGCCATCGTGAGGGCCTCTTTCGCCAACTTTTTTATGTGGGCCGTAGCCTGGTCCAGGCTGTCCTCCTGAGCTGCAATCCTGTCCTCTGCATCAGTGGTGCGTCAGACTAGCTCCTTTAGCTCCGAGGCCTGGCTTTTAAGCATTTCGGTCAGAATGTCTACTTTTTGGGAGATAACTGATTAGATGTTCCCAGTGATTACCTCAATAACTTGGCGAAGTTCGGAATCGAGCGTAGCCCCAGCAGCCGCTGGCAACTCAGCACCTAGCTCCGTGATAGCCATGTTACCTGTGCTAGTCAGTTGAGGCTCTACTTTACAGGTCTTGATGGGTTTCATTAGGATTTTGGGCGGTATTGTGCTAGAGTGAGTCGGAAGAACGTTTATCAGCGTTCACATTACCACATTTAGGTAAAATGTCTTAGTAAGAGGGTGGTATTCTGCTCAAATATGGAATAACTGGTGCACAGTTAAAAGAAGTTGACCTCTTGCTACGCCGCTATATTGGAAAGTCTGAGTGCAGCACAGTTACATGCGCTGCTACGTGAAAGGGACAGAAAAAACATGGAGCTGCAGCTACCAGGCAGAGGAGCTGCAAGTGGAAAGAAGCCATTGCTGCAACAACACTGTAAACGATAAACATGTTGTTCATATCAACCTATTGGTAGGGACAAGTAGGTTGCTTCAAAATTTTGGTAGGGACANTGTGTTTTCCAACCCAGCCATCAGCCCCCCTCGCTTGAAACAGCTTCCAGCGCGCCTGGTAGAATCCTGATCTCCCAGTCACCTACAGTGGGACTGAACTGCATTTCTTTTTCTGGTGGCTATGTGAAAGAAAATAATCTAAGTCTAAGTCTGGCTAAACAATGTCATATGACATATTTACCTTTGGTTTTTTTAGTGTTCTGCCAACCCCTCCTCCAACACACCTTCCAAGATCCACAGAAAGTCAAAATATTAAAATACAGGTTCAATACCTAAATGCAGTCCAAACCTCTGAATGTCGGCCATTGACCTGCATATATTCAGGAAAAGACTTCAAGACTTAAAATCTAAACAACTGTCTAGTGGAGCTACATGCTCGCCCAGGAAGAAGAAATTCGATTCTCAGAGTAATAATAATAAAAAGAAGCTGGTTTTGCTGGTAGAAAACTTTTTTACCAATTTAATTCATACACTGAACTCAACTGCATGTATGATTGGATTCCACTGCTCTTCTCTTTAAAACGAAGCATGTTTTTCTACCATAATCCGTCTGTTATCAACATTCCTTACAATAGACAGACCCAGATTGTAAATCTCCTCAGACTAGTTTTGAAATAAAATCAATAAAAAAAGCAATATCTGAAGACAGCTGTATTAATCGTTTACCTTTATTGTTTATTTATTTCTGAAGTATTCATTCTGGTTCTAATATCACTGCTTTAGATCATTGCTTTAGTCGTCTACAATGATTGTCACTGCCACCTACAACAGAACATGCTAATGTACATTTACTGTATAACGTTACTCATGGGCCATCACAGAAGAGGAGCAAATAAAACATTTACCAAAACTTTCCATAATAAAAAGACTCACCTTCTCAATAAACGGTGAGCAGTTCCTGATCACAAGAGCTGAGAAACTTTACATTTTGGTATATTTAGCTGGATCCCTCATGCAAATGGTGTTAATGGGGAGACAGTGGTGTAAAATAAAAGTTTAATCCTGGAACTGAAGTGTTGAGGATATTTAAGGCTACAATGATTAGAAACATTGAATTGCTGCATATAATATTTGAGTATAAATTTCATAAGTGTTCCACTTTTCTGTATAAAGCATATCCAAACTAAATAATGAACTAAAAGTGAATATATAGTGTTAAAATCTATTATTAGTTTATTATTACTACTAACAAACTCCTGCAGCTAAAAAAAAAGTCTAAGAGGAAAACACTGAACTCTTGTGATTCTATGAGCAATGACCTTAATCCTATTGAGCATCTTTAAAAGGCAGAAACATGGCGTCTGGAAAGGCTCCCTTCAAACCTGAGACAACTGGAGCAGTTTGCTGATGAGGAGTGGAACCAAAGAACCTGCTGTGAGGAGCAGAAGTCTCACTGACAGTTACAGGAACAGTTTGATTGACTGAAAAGGTTGGGCAACTAAATATTAAGTGAAGGAAACCATCATTTTAGTCCAGGCATGTTTTTAATCACTCTGTTGACGCATGGTTGAAAAACAAAATCAACTTTTCATTGATTTATTTTTTTATAGAATATTTATTTATTATTTTTATTTATTTCCACATTTATTTTATTTTTATTTCCACATTTATTTTATTTATGGAAATATTTATTTTTCATTTATTTTAAGATATATTTGTACATTTTTTCGTTA